CCTTGTTAAGACGTATCTTGGACAGTAATTACACACTTTTCTTCGTTAGTATTTTGACTTTATCACTTCTCGTACCAAGGGAATGTACAGCACGTGAGACTACTGACCCTGAGGCTAGCTCCTTATTCTGGCTTAAATGTATAACAAAAACGTCAACATTTGTTTGTTTGTTTCACTTACAGTGAGAAATTAACCAACTAGCGACTTTTTAATTCGTACATCTAAGAGTCAAACAGCGAATCACGACCACAAAATGTTCGTGATAAACTGCCTAGCAACACCTTTATACGCAAACATTCTAAAGCATATTTTTGAAATAAAAAGTCTCCGGAATCTTCAACAATAGCTCGTCTTCTGATTGGCTTATTCCCGTCCACTGTAGTTACTTAGTTTGTAATTACAGTCGTATTAATAATCCCCTTTCCCTTCTGCTAAATAGTTAGTAGTTTGTAAGCTAGCTCGCTGCGATCACATGCGGTCACGAGAATATTCGATTGTAACTTACGTTTCAAAATGCGGAACATAATTACAATAAAAAACATTTTTTAAAAATATCCATACCATTTCCAATTGAGCCACTTTCTCCCTAAGAGCTGCTATTTCCTTCTCCTGTTCCTTAAACTTTTCCCTCAATGTTGCTAAAGCCTGTGCCATGGCTGCAGGTAAGTTCACACAAAATAACTAATAATTCAGGTAAATTATCTCGTCTGGTTTTCTTTTTTTTCTTTTTAAAGTCACTTTAACACACGTTCTTTGGTCTGGAAACGAGACTTTATGGAAGCGCACGGAAAGCTCACTTCCGGGAACAGTACGTAACGAAACCACGTGACATGACGTAGGCGTTGATCTGGCGGCACAATAAATAAATCAGGAGGATTTTACGTATTTCCAGAACTATTTGGCGATCTGCGTACGTTCTTTACCCTCTACTGTTAATATAAATGTTTTTTTATAAATATTTATATAAAGTTTGTAATAACATAATAATGACTTATATATTATAGTTTAACTATTGTGACGAACTCGTAAACAGTACCGATCATATTTTAGTATCTGATTCAAGTTTATTTTATATATTTACAGCAGTATGTACAATATAACAAAGTTAATAAGTGCAACCAAAACAGTGTAATTAATTAATGAATACTTTTAGTCAACTATTACGAAGACTTGGACTCAAAATATCATCGAAATATCTGTGTTTTTATTAAATGTTTACTATAAAACACCATTTCACCTTTAAAATACCAACTTTTTAAGTGTAAACAATCCTGACAAAAATATATATATTTCCTGTTAACACACCAAAATAGCTTTTTTGCCTAAAAGTCATACTTAAAAACTAATACTACTGTGTTCCAGGCACAGTAGGTCTGAACAGGTCATTAGAACAGGAATATTTAATTACAATAAATATGCTTAACTGGCCTGCAAGATGTTAGATAATTTAAAAATATATAGGTATTATTATAGGAGATTAGCCGTTATTAGCAAACTAGAACAATCGCTGTCCTCGATCGTTAATCTACAACAATTTCTGTATGAAAAAAAACTTAATATGAGAGTTGTTACCCACCTGTTTCTGTCCAAGGATTTTTTTGTTTATACTGTGTACACACATTTATTTTTAAGAAACATAATGGCAGCTGTTAAAGTCAAAGGAGGCCTGATCTACACACCAGTGGCCAAACATGGCACGTGAGCCTTATGTTGTCCACGAGCTGAGACTGATTCATCAACTGACCGTCATGAGTTGGTTTGTCGATTAAAAAGGAGGCAGTTGTCCAACAGTTCTCACGTACTCTTTCACACACACACACACACACAGAGAGAGAGAGAGAGGAGCAGTGTGCACAGTGACGCGCTTGAAGTCCTGCCTCCTGCGTTTCACATGATCAGTTGATCTGAGCTTTCTTTCACAGAGCGACGACAGACAGGAATTCTTGGAGCAGCAGCAGTAACAGCAGTAACAGTAACAGCAGCAGCAGTAACAGCAGCAGCAGCAGCGATGTCTGAGCTCAGACACGGATCCTCCACGACGCGCTGGTTTTGCTCCGTGGTTCTGTGGATGACATTCATCCTCTGCTCCGCTGCGGGTCCCTGGACGCAGGAGAAGGTAAATCGGTGAATGAGACGATACTCTTATTATTATTTAGCTGCGTGTGTTGATTTCACCGACCGTCCAAAAAAAAAAAACCCCCAAACTTGCCCATTCCTGGCTTTGACGAT